GTCCCCAGACCTACCAAGGCAATCTAGTTCGAAGCATGCTCAGCCTCCTTTTGAAAGAGAGATAAGGCAAAGGTTTTGTCTTTCAAGCACGAAGAGGAAACGTTCATCCAGATTTTCAAAACCTGCAGGATTGGGATAAGATGCCATCCCTGAGGATTTAACAGATACTACCTTCCTCCACCATCCCCTCCACCCCCAACAACTCTAGTACCTTATTATCTTGAAACCAAATGATAGCAATATCCCCATAAATGATCTCCCCACAGGCAGACTGCCCCCTGACTGTATTCCACCCTGTGTCCTGGTGTGCCAAATTAGTATTCCTCAAGCCCCCTGAGAATAATGTCACTTAACCTCATTCAGCGGCACCTGTCTGATTTGCAAATAACTCACCGACATTTCAGTCTAGAATTCACCATTTTCACCAATGGAGTCGCACACTACCTACCTCATCAGTGTTATCGCCCACTGCTCCCCGGTGGTGGCCCCCATTTCTGCTGAACAAAAACACCCATGGCTTCCTTAGCACAGATTACACCCTTATGCCTCCTGCTGCGTGGGCCTTTTCTGCCTGGAGTTCATCCTTCCTCCATTCCACTCCACGAAGTCTTTCCCAAACCCTTGTTCATATAAACCTACCGTGGTTCAGGCAGTATGGGAATGGAAACAGGTGGAGGAAGAAATGTAACCTGCTCTTGTAGGGGTGTCACATTCAACATTAAACCCGTTTCACTTACACAGACTCAACTTGGCAACAGGGAGACACAGCACAATTGAAATGGTGCAGGTAGTTCAGCCTGGTGTTCAACTAGGAGCCTGTGTTCTAGAAAACAGAAATGGGGCTGAGACCCACCTGTCTTCTCCAAGGTCCCCAGATCCCCGAGAGCCCCTTAGAGTGGAAGCATCTTGCCTCAAAACCATCCTAGACTTGATTAAAGAGTTTCTCAGCTGGGCTCGGTGGCTCACACCTGTAATCCCAGCACTTTGGGAGGCCGAGGCGGGCGGATCATGAGGTCAGGAGATCAAGACCATCCTGGCTAACACGGTGAAACCCTGTCTCTACTAAAAATACAAAAATTAGCCAGGCATGGTGACAGGCACCTGTAGTCCCAGCTACTAGGGAGGCTAAGGCAGGAGAATGGCGTGAACCCGGGAGGCGGAGGCTTGCAGCGAGCCGAGATCGTGCCACTGTGCTCCAGCCTGGGTGACAGAGCGAGACTCTGTCTTTAAAAAAAAAAAAAAAAAAAAGAGTTTCTCAAGTCGATGTTATACTGTATTAAGAACTTGCTTACCTGTGGAGTTTTGGACCTAACACTCAAACACAACAAAATTCCCCTACATTCATAAATATGTCATTGTTTCATAAAATAAAAATGCAAAAGAGATTTATAATTAACAGAAGGTACTGGGACAATCATTTAACTACCTGAGATAAGAAATAAAGCTCCAGCAGCACCTCAAACCACATGCAAAAGTCAACCCCAGATGTGTGAAGAGTTCAATGTGTCTGAGAGTATATTATATTACGTGTAAGAACTTGAAGACAGACGAATATGAAGCCATTCCTGAAGAACTGTTTTCTAAGCATAAAAGCAAAGACACAAATTATGAAATAAAAGATACTTTTGGTTTCATTAGATTTCCTCCTTCTCTTGTCTTTCTCCCAATCGTATGCACAACGACCAAAGAAGAAGAAAAATCTGGGAAGCCCTTCTTAAGTATTGAGCCCTAGGGAAGGGTGGCATCCACGTTCAGCTTTGAGGAATCAAGAAGGATGACACCAAGGGCCATGTTGCACAGATATAGCACCCTCCCGAAAACAGCATGTGGTGTGATGAGGGGCTACGCCAGAAAGACTTCAATCTCCCTAGATTTAGGGAGAATTAGAAAGCAAGGCGAGGCTGGGCGTGGAGGCTCATGCCTGTAATCCCAGCACTTTGGGAGGCCGAGGCACGTGAATCACGAGGTCAGGAGTTCGAGACCAGCCTGGCCAATATAATGAAACCCCGTCTCTACTAAAAATACAAAAATTAGCCAGGCATGGTGACAGGCACCTGTAGTCTCAGCTACTCGGGAGGCTGAGGCAGGAGAATTGCTTGAAACCAGAAGGGAGAGGTTGCCACGAGTGGAGATCGTGCTACTGCACTCCAGCCTGGGTGAAAGAGCGAAACTCTGTCTCAAAAAAAAAAAAGCAAGGCGAAATCAGCATAAACAGAAATGCACTCAGAAACTCAATGGCAGCCATGCTTGCACATGCTTGCACCCAGCAGAACATCCTTAGGACAGCAAACATGTTCCCTGAAAGTGCGGTTACCAGAATAGCCAACAGGTTCGAGGCAGTCAAATCGTATAGCCACAGAGACGCCTTAACTCACCCAAATTAAAACGAACGAGAACATCAAACTTCCAACAAACAAAAGGATACATACAAAGCAAACATCTAGCCCAGCAGATTCACAAAAATGACCACGGGTCGGAGGAAGGCCCAGAAATGTTTCCTTAATGGGTGCTGTGCGATTCCACCTCTTTTCCCCTCTTCACAGTTGCTGAATCACTTAATAAAAATGGATTTTTTCATTAGCTAGACCTCCTGTTTATATGAGGTGAATCACACACTCTACTTTTTGAGCAAACTGAAGGCCAGAGTAAAACCCTTGAACATTTAAGCGTGAGTCAACAGATAACCACCAACTTCAGAAAGAGAAGTTACAAAATTAAAAGAAAAGGACAAGCTCTAAAGAGACAGAGACAGCAAAGGCACCTTTCAGAGGGAAGAAAAAAAAGATTTGTAACAACAACAACAACAAAAACCCGAGGTAAGAATTAAGTGACACTTGTCCAATACTCTCACTAAATGTAAATATGGACTTCATCAGACAGAGATGAAATTGGAAATACTAAGAATAAAGACAGGTTAAGAAGCAGCTACTTAAAAGGTGAGCAGAAATGAAAAAAGGACAAGTGAAATCATTCACAGAAACTGAAAATACAAAAGTAGGAAGGTTAAGTATCACTGTGGAGGCCAAGCTTGAAGCCATCTCCTCTTAGGCTGCAGAGAAAAGCTATTCAGAGATGGGAACGGGAAGATGAGCAGACAGGTTAAGATCAGAGAACGAAGTTCCACGATGCAGGTCACTGAATGTTTTGGAAAAAGATCTCAAGACCTGGAATCTGCAGACAGAAAACATTCACCGTTAACAAAATTACTGAAAAGGGACAAGCATTTGCTGTGTCCTGGTAAACGTTTTGAATTTTAAGAATAAAGACAGAATCCTTCAAGTTACCTAAAAGCAAGATAAAAGAAGTGATCTGAGGCCTTTACTTAACACCATTACGTACCATAAGACCTGGAAGCAGACTCTGCAGAAATTTGAGGGAAAATATCTATGACTCAGGAAAGCTATAGTCCACCAATATTTCATTTATAAGAGATTTAAGAAAAAAATTGAAAAGCCAGGCATAGTGGCTTGAGCCTGTAGCTCCTTGCTGCTTGGGAGGCTGAGACAGAAGAATCCCTTGAACCCAGGAGTTAGAGACTGTAGTGCACTGCAGTTGTCCCTGTGAATAACCATTGCACACCAGACTGGACAACATAGTGAGACACCATCTCTAAAACAAACAAAAATTGGCTGTGCAAAAATTTTTAAATGTTGAAAACATTACTTTGTACTATATGCATATGGTATTATATATAATATCTATAAAGTACTAAGTACTTCAATAATGTATAAATATTTCAAAGATCTATTATATAATTTAAAAACAAAAAAATAGTGATGTATGCTATATGTAAGTAACAAAAAATTCAGAGTAAGAAAGCAAATGATAAAAATATTAAAGAAGATGATTATCTCGAGGGAAGGAAGGCAGAGGGTGGAATCTGGTAACTATACCAGTTTATTTCCTTTAAAACAATCACTATCTGTAGCTATGCCTGAAACAAACAAACACGGCAAAATATCAAATCTGGCACGTGAGAGGTTATCTGTGTCATTTTCAGGCTTAATATATTGTACATGCTTTTTAAAAGAAGAGAATAATGAAGAGATTAGAGACTGCAGAGCTGCATCAGCAAAGAAGCTAAACAAGAAAGTCTAAAAAATTGTCACAAAAATGTTTATGAAATGCCAGTGTAAAAAATAGCCCTTGAAGAAAAAAACCACAATGCTACTGAAAAGTCATAATAAAGGGCCAGGTGGTAGATTACAATGGTTTAAGGCTTGAGCTCAGGAATAATACTGCTCTGTGCTCAGATTCTGCCTCTGCCACTTAGTAGTGATGTGACCTTCAATAGGTGACAATGCCTGTCTGAATCTCAGCTATGCCCTTGTACAAAGGCTAATAATGATACCTACCTCATGGGGAAATTGTAACAATTATGTAAAACAAGGAATACAAATCAGCCTGGAGGCCGGCACATATGAGTATTCAATTAATATTAACTGTTAGTATTATTATGACAACAAAAAAAGAGACTGGGTGGAGATGCTTGGTTTTACTCCAGTCTCTTAGCCCCTCAGCTGGGGGCTACCACCCAAGGCAAATCTGGAACAGGTAATTTCGTATTAATGGATGACACCGCTTCAAGCATCTAGAAATTCAGACATTTATGTGTCCAAACTCTACTTCTACACTATTCTTACACCTAAAAGTAAAAATAGTTCTGAAAATATACCGTTTTTATTACATGTGAATATATATTCAATTAGATATGTATATAATTTAATATTTTATATAAAATTTAATTATATAACATATATTTACATATATTGTTAGATATAATTTTAGATTTTATGATATAATTTTATTTATATTATATATTATAAAAGTTCGATCTTTTATCATATATGTTTAATTTGTTATTGTCTAATTTATTAATTATTAAGGTCTTAGGCAATTGATTGTCTTTAAAGTATCCTTCCCTTTAGAAAATTCTAGAAATGGAAATGAACATGTTCCTACCAAATTCAGTGAACAGTATTTTCTTCTTCACATTCCAGGTACAGAATGGAAGCACAGGCTATCCCTAAGGCAACTGAGGAGACTGAGGAGCAAGGTGCAAATATACATTTTTATTTTATTTTATTTTTTGCTTAGGCTGTACAATTACTATTCATTTTTCAAGCAGCAAGTTTAGTTTTGGTTTTTTTGCAATAAGCCCATCTTGTTTTCTTAACAATTATTTGATCCTCTAAATTTATATTTTGAAAATTTTCAAAGTTATAGGAAAGGTACAGTAGTAAGAGTATATTGGCCGGGCGTGGTGGTTCATGCCTGTAATCCCAACATTTTGGGAGGCCAAGGCAGGCAGATCACCTGAGGTCAGGAGTTCAAGACCATCCTGACCAACATGGAGAAACCCCATCTCTATTAAAAACACAAAATTAGCTGGGCGTGGTGGCACATGCTTGTAATCCCAGCTACTCAGGAGGCTGAGGCAGGAGAATCGCTTGAACCCGGGAGGCGGAGGCTCTGGTGAGCCGAGATCACGTCATTGCACTCCAGCCTAGGCAACGAAAGCAAAACTCCATCTCAAAAAAAAAAAAAAAAAAAAGTGTATTACCCACATACTCTTCAACTAGAGTCACCATTTCTTTTTTCCTGCCTCCTTTGCCTGTGTGTGTGTATAACTGTGTATATCCTTTCTGAACCATAATAGAGATAAACATCATGACATCTCACCTCAAATACTTTCACATGTATTACTACCTAAGAACAAAAACATTCTCCTAAGTAATCATAATACAATCATCAAGACATTTAACATGGAGGAAAACAAATTTTATTACAGCGTGTGTCTGGATTTTTGGTTTGGAATATAGAGTTTCTTTTAGTCTGGATATGCTGCCTATTATGTATGGTAAAGTGAGCTTACTAACAATATAGCTCCATTCCTAAATATCATGAGTAAATATCTCTAAATAATTAATTATCGCAATTCCATCTTGATCAAAGTATAATATCAACACAGGTGCCTAGTAGAGAATCTGGTTTGGAACTGAAGTACTTAGTACCTCAGGAAAACTTATTAAAATGTTTTCTTCTTGTAAAAGACAGGGGAACCGAAGTGTAGGAAATTAAAGTGACATTCCTCAAGTTTACAGAAGGAAGGTTGGTAAAATTCAAACTTAAGTTCCAGCGATACTGTACAGCAAAGCACAGATCCTGACACCACGTAGCCTATGGGAGAGGTGGGCACAGATGATCCACGAAGAGATCAGAAACACGTTGCTTCCATCTCCCTCATTTCTGTTTATAACACATCTCAGCCAGAGGTCTCCATTCCTCGATGGATGCTAGAATCATCTCGGGAGCTTTTAAAAGATGCAGAGATGGCTTGGAGCCTGCCTCAGACCAATAAAAGTAGAAATCGATGGGGACAGAACAAGGATGCTGGTATTTACAAGCTCACAGGTGATTCTAACAAGCAGCCGGAACTGAGACCCATTGCCCTAGAGGAAAGGAAGTTTGGACTTTGGGTACGGCTGTGTATTCTTGTCCACCACTGCCTAAGTCTGTTGCCTTAGGAAGTGACACTGCACCACATTTTTCCTTCCCTCTGCTGCTGATTTTCTTGAGAGCATTCACCCTGAGATACCAGATCATTCTTTTTTTTGGAGACAGAATCTTGCTCTGTTGCCCAGGCTAGAGTACAGTGGTGCAATCTTGGCTCACTGTAACCTCCTCCTCCTGGGTTTAAGGGATTCTCCTGCCTTAGCCTCCCAAGTAGCTGGGATTTGGGATTACAAGTACCTACCACCATGCTCTGCTAATCTTTGTTTTATTTTTAGTAGTGACGGGCTTTCGCCATGTTGGTCAGGCTGGTCTCGAACTCTTGACCTCGTGATCCAACCACCTTGGCCTCCCAAAGCGCTGGGATTACAGGCGTGAGACACTGGACCCGGCCACCAGACCATTCTTAAATGCATTGTCCACAATGTCTCAGACCTCCCACCAGGCTGGAGACACTGGGGAATTCCAGCAGGAGACGGACGCCACACCCAATAGCAGGCATTTCACTCACACAAACCGGAAAATGACAGAGCTATGAACTGTGCCAGTGCCAATGTCCGGATCCCAGGGGTACAAAGAGGAGAGATAAAGGGCAAAAGGAGGGTGTAGGGTGCAGTTCTGTGTGGTGCTGAAGGCAGCTTCCTCAGATGAGGCTCTCAATGGCATGGGCTGTCACTGGGTCCAGGAGCTTAGCTGGAGGAGAAATCTGCAATTGACAAAGTCATGCCGCCCATGTCCCTTATAAACAATTGAATTCTCAAGCAAAGACCCGTGTTTGTGACAGCTCACAATACCTGACAATGTGAATAAACAACAGCTGTACCTCCCTCTTCTTTCCCTTCTCTCCATCGCCATGACCACCCTGCCTTTTTGGAATAGCCAGGCAGTAACTCTGGCTCCGTCTCTAGGAAAAAGGAGCCGCAGCCTGCAAGAGTTGACTGAGCTTCCACCACTTGCCAGGAGATGAGTCAGACACAGTCATGGTCTGGAGGAGTCCAGGACCGCTCATTCTGCAAGAGGCAGGGACAGACGTGTGTGCCGTGGACAGACAGCCTCGTCTATTCCGCGAACATTTCACATCCTGTCACCAGTGTGGCTGCCCGGGCACACACGAGGGACAGCGGGTGGGAGGGACAGTAACCCTATCCAATTCCTGACATTGCAGCCCCCTCACACCCGCTCTGATCTCCATTACATCCTGGGATTGAATGGCCCTATAAAAACGTCCACCGTGAAAGACAGATTCAAAAACTGAAGAAACAGTATCCTGATGGAAGTCCTTTAACATCCTCCACCCTCAAGCTTCAGGCCCTTCCCCCAGGCCCTACAATAGAGCTCCCATCCCCACCCCTGGCCAGGCAGAGAATTTATGAGCTCTAAGTCCTGTTTTTCTACATTGATGGAAATCACGGGCAAACGTTTCCACCGGGCCAAACTCCATTCAGAGTCAAATATCAAGGCACCCAGCTGAGCTCCAGGAGCCAGCGTTTATGAAGCCAGTCGATGTGCCCTGTGACCGTAAACCATCTTATATTTACTATGACAGGACAGTATTTGAGTTCATAAAAAGATGATTTTTCTGCCTAACTTTTGTTGCCTGGAAGGCCCTAGCTTCCTTTACAAGGGGATTGTGTGTCGGGACCGATAGAGAGCCTGAAAAGCTAAGTCAGCCAGCTGTTGTTTGCGCATTTTGTTGGGGTAAAGAAATTGAGTCAGACTTAAAGGGGCCCTAAACAAGATTCCATAGATTCTTGACGGTCCATGATAAGTGGGAAAAATACATACCTGTTATCTTGTATGATGCAAATGAGAAGCAGGGAGAAGAGAATCATTTTATTTAACCTCCCTAGCCCTTGCCTCCTCCTCCCCAGCCCTGCCTCTCCCAGCCCTGCGTCCTCCAGGGATACCTAGATCCCATTTGGAAAAAGGGACAGCGATGAGTCTCTGAAATGTTCGCCAGAACCGCAGCGAAGGGTAGAACCACATCATCTCTTTAGGTTGCTCGGGGTATGGAAAGAAACTGAAGGTGGGGTACAAGGGGAACAAAGGGATTTAGGAGGGAGCTTTCTCATGCAGAAGGGACATCTTCTGAGCTCTTTCAGTCACCTGGAGGGTCTGTGTGTTGTTTGCTACCAATGTTGCATTTATTTCACTCAAGTCATTCTTCAAGAGGACCTATGCCAGCTGGGGTCAAGGGAACTGGAGCAGGATGTATGTAGGCATTTTGTGAGGATGTAAGCAAACTAAGAAAATGTCAGAGACGTCCGGCTACTCTGAAGTGTTGACCCCAGTGTGGGGACCAGAGAGGCAGCACGTAAATTGTCCTCATCTCTAGAGCAGCTTCACGGAAATCCAGAGGTTTTTTCAGCTCCGACACTCTCTAACTCTGGGAATCACGAAGTGAATGGAGTACAAAGGGTCATAGTTGAGCAAAGCCTCAGGAAACAGCCTTTTCAGAGGACACACACGAGTCCCCAACGCTGAACTGGAGGCTGCTGTCTCTCTCTTTCTGGCAATGGGTATTTTGTTACTGGAGTACGCGGCTGCAGCTCCTTCCTTTGCTGAATACACGTTTCTGTATTTTTTAAATGCGATTAATTAACTGTGAAAGGACAACTTAAAGATCCCAAAATCGCAACTGTGGGCACCAGTGCCAGGCACTAATTTTTTATTAATTATTAAGAAAAATTAATTTCTTATTAATTATTGTTGAATACATGGGCCAATCTACGATTGCACAATAAAACATTTGGACTCGTCTCGTGGACCACAAAGCTGAATTACCACTGCTCTTCAGGAAGCTAAAGAGATTAGGTGGGTTTTAGGAAGTTTTTACTGTTAATCCAGGAAAGCAATTCTGCCTCCATCAGCAGCACCTCATGACATGTGTTAATGATATTTTTTCTGTACCCTGAACTTCCTTCTGCCAGTGCTCAGCAACCTGCATTTTCACCCCTTGGTGCAGAAAATAACAGAAGTGAAATATCCTGAGGAAGATTAAAGGCAGTAGGGATTTTCTCACAAGGTTCAGATGCTATTTGGCAGAGATTTATTTTTTCTGAGTAAATTATCCAGTCTGAGACGCCTTTAGTATTAGATTTTAATCCATTTAAATTTATTTTGATGACTGTTGCCCCTTGGTATCCACAAAGGATTGGTTCCAGGACCCCCTAAGGATACCAAAATCCATGGATGCTCAAGTTCCTTATATAAAATGGCATGGTATTTGCATATAACCTACACACATCCTCCTGTATACATTTAAATCTTCTCTAAATTACTTATAATGCCTGCTAGAATGGAAATGCTATGTAAATAGCTATTACACCACATTTTTTTAGCATTTATGTTACTTTTTATCATTGTATTGTTTTGTGGCGGGGGGGCGGGGGATTAGCTGAATCCTTGAATGCAGAACCCACAGATGTGGAATGTCCCCTGTGCTTAGAAATTTGGACTTGTTTCTTGTTTCTTTTTTTTTTTTTTTTTTAAGAGACAGAGTCTCGCTCTGTCACCCAGGTTGGACTGCAGTGGTACGATCACGGCTCACTGCAACCTTCACCTCCCGAGTTCAAACGATTCTTATGCCTCAGTCTCTCAAGTACCTGGGATTACAGGCACATGCCACCATGCCCGGCTAATTTTTGTATTTTTAGTAGAGACCAGCCATGTTGGCCAGGCTGGTCGCAAACTCCTGACCTCAAGTGATCTGCCTGCTTCAGCCTCCCAAAGTGCTGGGATTACAGACATGAGCCATCGTGCCTGGATGAAATTTGGACTTGTTTTCTATCATTTTATTTGATGCTCTCCATTTACTATGTCTGTTTGCTTTTTTCTTTTCTTTTATTGGAGTAGTCAAGTTTATTTTATTGAATCCCCTTCCAGTTTAGAAATTATTATTTCATTGGTTACATTTCAAATTTTGCATGGTAATTAATTTAAGAAAACCTCATATTGATATTGCAATCCTTCTCTATCAATGCAAGGGTTTAAAAAGCTTGAGGCCAGGCACAGTTGCTCCTGTCTGTCATCTCAGTACTTTGAGAGGCCGAGGCAGGCAGATCACTTGAGCCCAGGAGTTCAAGACCAGCTTGGGCAACATGGTGAATCCCCATCTCTACAAAAAATGCAAAAATTAACTGGGCACGGTGGCTTGCACCTGCAGTCCCAGCTACTCCAGAGGCCGAGGCAGGAGGATCACTTGTGCCTGGGAGGTCAAGGCTGCAGTGAGCTGTGATCGTGCCACTGCACTCCAGCCTGGGCTACAGAGCGAGACCCTGTCTCAAAAAATAAATAAATAAGTAACATAAAAAATAAAATGCTTTAACACTGCCCTCCACTTCACCTTCCTCTCATTCTAAATTTATTATTGGTAAAACTGCTATTAATCCAAGCAACATATTACTTTTTTTTAATTTTATAGTCCCAGCTCGTTTGGATGGATGAGTGTGTTTACCATCTTCCCAACTCACCCTTGCTTTTAGTACATCTTGCTTTCCTTCTGGATTCAGTCTTTCTTGCTAAAGTCTGTCATTTAGTAGTTTCAGTAAAGGTTTTGTATAGTTACTTCTCTCTTTGTTTATCTGAAAGTTCTCCACGTTCTGTCCTCTGGAAGTTTTATTAAATGCATTTTGGACCTAGTAAGTCTATACTTGGAGTCTGTAAACCACCTTGTTATAGTTCCATCTTTTAATCTCTTTAAGAAGTTTCTCAGATCTTCTCATTATTAACATGTTTCAGCTGTTTTCCTCTGCTGTTTGGTAAGTTTATCATGTATCTTTTAGTTATTACAGGCATACCTTGCTTTATTGAGCTCTGGTTTACTGTGCATTGCAGATACTGCATTTTTTTAAAATTGAAGGTTTGAGGCAACCCTGCATCAAGCAAGTCTGTCGGGGTCATTTTTCCAATAGTATGCTCATATGCTGTGTCTGTATGTCACAATTTTGGCATTTTTCTCAATATTTCACTTTTTCATTAATATTGTATCTGTTATGGTGATCTGTGATCAGTGATCTTTGAGGTTACCATTGTAATTGTTTTGAGGTGCTTCAAACCATGTCCATAGAAGACAGGGAATTTTATCGATAAATGTGTATGTCCTGACTGCTCCACAGACCAGCTATCCCCCATCTCTCTCTTCTTCAGGCCTCCCTATTACCTGAGACACAACAATATTGAAATTAGGTCATTTAATATCCCTACAATGTTCTAAATGTTCAAGGAAAAGGAAGAGTTGCACATCCGTCACTTTCAATCAAAAGCCAGAAATGATTAAACTTAGTGAGGAAGGCATGTTGAAAGCTGAGACAGGCTGAAAGCTCAGCCTCCTGCAGCAGTTAGCCAAGTTGTAAATGCAGAGGAAAAGTCCTTAAAGGAAACAAAAAGTGCTACTCCAGCGAACACACAAATGATAAGAAAGTGAAACAGCCTTATCGCTGATCTGGACAGAAGATCAAACCAGCCACAACATCCCCTTAAGCCAAAGTGTAATCTAGAGCCAGGCCCTAACTCTCTTATATTTTATGAAGGCTGAGAAGGTGAGGAAGTTGCAGAAAAAAAGTGTGAAGTTAGCAGAGTCTAGTTCATGGGGTTTAAAAAAAGAAGCCGTCTCCATAACATAAAAGTGTAAGATGAAGCAGCAGGTACTGACGCAGAAGTTGCAAAACGTTATCTAGAATATCTACATAAAATTATTGATGGAGGTGGCTACACCAAACAACAGATTTTCCATGTAGACAACATAGCTTTATTCTGTACTAGAAGAAGATGCCATCTAGGAATTTCATAGCTACAGAGAAGTTAATACCTGGCTTCAAAGTTTCAAGGACAAGCTGACCCTTTTGTTAGGGGTTAATGCAGCCGGTGACTTTGAGCTGAAGCCAATGCTCATTTGCCATTTCAAAATTTCTAGGGCCCTTACAATTGATGCTAAGCCTATTCTGCCTGTGCTGTACAAATGGAACAACAAAGCCCGGATGACAGCACATCTGTTTACAGCATGGTTTACTGAATATTTTAAGCCCACTGTTGAGACCTACTGCTCAGAAAATAAAAAGGATATCTGTCTAAATATTACTACTCATTGATAATGCATCTGGTTATCTAAGATCTCTGATGTATAAGATGAATGTTGTTTTTTATACCTGTTAATACAATATCCATTGTGTAGACCACAGGACAGAGTCGTTTTGACTTTCAAGTCTTATTATTTAAGGAATATACTTTGTAAGGCTCTAGCTACCATAGATAATGATTCCTCTGATAGATCTTGGCAAAGAAAACTGAAAACCTTCGGGAAAGAATTCACCATTCTAAGTGCCATGAAGAACATTTGTAATGTATGGAAGGAGGTTATAAAATATCAACACAAATAGGAGTTTTGAAGATGTTGGTTCCAACCCTCATGGATGACTTTGAGAAGTTCTGGACTTCAGAGAAGGAAGTAACTCCAGATGTGGTGTAAAGAGCCTGAGAATTAGAATTAAAAGTACAGCTTGAAGATATGACTGAATTGTTGCAATCTCGCAATAAACCTTGAACTGATAATGAGTTGCTTCTTATGGATAAACGAAGACAGTGGTTTCTTGAGATGGAATCTCCTCCTGGTAAAGATGCTGTAAACATTGTTGAAATGACGATGAAGGATTTAGAATGTCACATGAACTTAGTAGATAAAACAACAGGAGGATTTGAGAGGATCGACTCCAATTTTAAAGGAAGTTCCACTGTAGGTAAAATGCTATCAAACGGCAGCATTGCATGCTGCAGAGAAATCTTTCATGAAAGGAAGAGTGGATCAACGAGGCAAATTTCACTGTTGCCTTATTTTAAGAAATTGGCACAGCCACCCCAGTCTTCAGCAACCAACACCTTGATTAGTCAGCAGCCATCGACACTGAGGCAAGACCCTTTCTCAGCAAAGATTACAACTCACTGAAGACTCAGATGATCATTAGCACTTTTTTAGCAATAAATTATTTTTAAACTGAGTTATGTACTTTCTTAGACATAATTACATAGCACTCTTAATAACCTACAGTATAGCATAAACATAACTTTTAGGCCAGGTGCGGTGGCTCACGCCTGTAATCCCAGCACTTTGGGAGGTCAAGGTAGGCAGATCACAAGGTCAGGAGATCGAGACCATCTTGGCCAACACAGTGAAACCCCGTCTCTACTAAAAAAAATACAAAAAATTAGCCGGGCGTGGTGGTGGGCACCTGTAGTTCCAGCTACACAAGAGGCTGAGGCAGGAGAATGGCATGAACCCAGGAGGTGGGGCTTGCAGTGAGCTGAGATGGCACCACTGCACTCCCGCCTGGGCGACAGAGCGAGACTCCATCTCAAAAAGCCTAAAAAAAAAAAAAAAAAAAACCATAACTTTTATACGTATTGGGAAATCAAATAATTTGTGCAGCTCGCTTTATTGTAATATTTGTTTTATTGTGATATTTGCTTTATTACAGTGGTCTGGAGCAGAACCTGCAAGATCTCCGAGGTATACCTGGACTATGTTTTTCTGTTTTTTTAATCTGCAGTTTATCCTTTCTGTTGAGGTTTTACCTTCAACATTTACAATTTTTCATTTCACATTCTATTTGACTCTTTGTCATATATTTTTATGCTGTCCAGATTTTTTGTAATAATTTTAATATTTTGTTTCTTTAATAAATTTGAAACAATCATGTAGGTATCTTTCAGAGTATTATGATTTTGAGGTCAATTTTGGGGTTTGTTGGTTTTACTGCCTCTTCCACAGGGTAGGTGTCTTTGTTCGAGTGATTGAAATTTCTGATCGTGTTTCCCATCCTCAATTGTGGTCGTTCATTCTAGGGAAGTCTCCTGGGAACCAAGTTGTAGAAAATCATTCGGAACAGCTTCAGTTTTTCTTTTGCCAAAGACGCCAAGGGTTTCAATGGTCCTGAGACCAGTTCTTCTGTTGATTTCTCAGCTTGTGGTTCTCACACTTCACGGGAAGCATAAACTCAGGCCACATGCAAACATACAGCTCAGACTTGTGGTTTTAATTCCTTATGAGTGACTTTTATTTTTATTTTTACTTTTTGTCCAACAGTCTAGAGAGAGGGCAAGCTTTCTGACACTTTTGCTGAGCCTGGGAGGCCGGGTTTTCTAATCTATGAGGTCAAGGAGCATGGAGCATGTCAAGATGCTTCGCTTCATGTATAGGCATGGTTTTGTCTCTAGGGGCAAATGCAGGCAGTGGCCAAATTCCTGAATCCCAGCTTTCAACCCAGGTCCTTTCTCCTGTTCATCCTCTGTGGGCTACAGCAGCCTCAGCGCCCACTTACTGCCCTGGCAGGTTTTCTTTTCTTTGAACTTTGGCTGGGTATACTTGTTTTTGTTGTGGTAGCTGTTACATTTTATGCAGCATTCTTTTATGTTTATTTTGGGTGGAAAGAAGAGAGAAGTAGATCACTTCTCTCCTCAGCTGAGTCCCTCTCATTGCTAGAAATGTTTCTGTGATAATTAAAGATTTTAATTATGATGCTCTATTGGCACCATATTATGTGAGCAGAGTTCAGGCATCCAAGCTCCACATGCATTGCTGCGAGACACGGCAGATACACACACCAGTCCCAGCCCTCCACCAGAGACTGCTGTGGACTGTCAGCAAGTACACAACGCCTGCATGAATCAGGTGATTCACTGCCGGTGTCCCCCAGCCATGCCCTGCCAGCTCCTTCCATTTCTATCTCTATACAACAAGTAGCGAATTTGTTGGGGGGGGGGGGGTTCATTTTTTACAACTATCAACTTTTGAAACTTTAATGCAACAGACCTCCACTGGGAGTAAAATTCTGATGTAAATTCAATCCCTTGGGAAAGGTAGTGAAACGACGAGTAAAATAGAACTGAAAAGCACGTCTGAAGAATCTCAGTGCTACCTCTCCTTTGGAGCTGGCTTATCAACAGCTCTGGCTGTCACCTTCCTGGTTTTCACATTCCCTGTTCGTCTCCATCTAAAATGGGTCTTTAACCATTCCACACTCCTCCCACCTTCCTGCTCACAGAAGCCGTGTCCTAGATGTGTAGGCTGGAAATTCTATTCTGGGACTTGCCATTAATCCCTCTTGGAAAGTGGCACTGTGCAGAAGATGGGAGTTAGCTGGTTAACAAACAGTTATTCTAACCTTTCAAAATCCTCTCATAGCTCAAAACTGGTAGAAGAAAAACCTTCTAGAATTATTGATATATGAATATTCTCACCACATTTGAGAGATTTCAGCTGTTACTCAGAGATGCAAAGTAAACCAATGGTCTTAGGATATGGAAGGCGTAAATGGGAGTCAATGCTACCAGGAGACAAAGAAGGACCTTCTCCATGCTATTTCCATCTCTCTCTCAAATGACTGGGTGTTTCCCTCTTGAACTAACTACTACAAAAGTCATTTCTTGCTGTTTGTCCTAAAAATGAAAAGAATATTGGATGCTTAGTTCTAATACACTTCTTCGTGATGAAGGTAATAATATCACCTTATAGACAGTTTTGAAAAAAAAAAAGATAATCACTCATCCATAATTCCAGCACTGCTAGCATTCTAAGGGTGTTTCCTTTTTGTTTGTTTTTTTGAGACAAGCAAACTCTGCTACCTAGGCTGGAGTGCAGTGACACAATCACAGCTCAGTGTAGCCTCAGCCTCCCAGGTTCAAGTGATTCCTCGCACCTCAGCCTCCCGAGTAGCTGAGATACAGGTGCACGCCACCAGGCCTAGCTAATTCTTGTGTTTTTTGTAGAGATGGGATTTCATCATGTTGCTCAGGCTGGTCTCCAACTCTTGGGCAATTGACCAGCCTCAGCCTCCCAAAGTGCTGGGATTATAGGGGTGAGCCACTGTGTCCGGTCTACAACTTATTTAAACATAGTTAAAATCAAAGTATCCATGTGTTTTTCACATATTTACAGGAGTTTTAGGTCCCTATGCATCTCAGGTTTTTGTTTGTTTGTTTTTTAATCACAACAACCCTCTCACTAAAGCAAGGTAAACGTGCTTGACCACATTTGACAGAGAAGGAAACCGAGACGCAAGCATTTGACAATGAGTTGCTCAGCAATACAGATATAGGAGAAGCCTGTTGTTACCAAGGTTTTCTTCTTCGGTGTCTGTAAACCTAGGGAATTCACAATTGCTCTATCAGCCCATACAAACTCATGGGTAGTTAGAACTAGAGCCAAACTGGAATTAAAGGGAGAAAGGTGGGAGGAAGGGGGCTTTGCAAAGCTGTGATTATGAATCTAATCAGTGTATGGCCTGTCTATAAACAATAAAGCCAATTTCTTTGTGACACATATAGTTTTAGAGGGAATTCCAGATAAAAATCCCCCCAAATGCTCTGTGTGATGGCAATACTAGCGTAAGCACATAACCTCTGCTGGGGACTGCTTTGATGGACGTCACTTAATTGGATCTATAAATTATGTGTGTCTGTTTTCAAAAACACTCAGTCTTCCTATGTTCACATTTTACATAATTCAGTTGATGCATTATTTTAGCAAGTGCTCTACGCTTTGAAGACTGCAGGAAGAAAATCACTTTCTGAGGGCAACCTAGATGGCATAGGTTGCCAATTGGCCAATCTCACTTCACCTCAATGGCTAATTGACAACTTTCCCTAACTTTCCCACAAGCCCCTGATGTCTCAGGAGAGTCATATCCTCAGAGGATTCGGAAAATCAAAAAGGGGATTAGTGCTAGAGAGAGGACAGGTAGATGGAAATATATATGATAAAAACAAGTATAGTAAAACGTAAAGAACAGAATCCAGATGATGGGTTGATGGGTTTTCACTATAAAATTATTTTAGTCCTGCCATATACTGAAATTTTCAAAATAATGTTTTGTTGTTGTTGTTGTTTTGAGATGGAGTCACGCTCCATTGCCCAGGCTGGAGTGCAGTGGCATGATCTCAGCTCACTGCAGCCTCCACCTCCCAGGTTCAAACGTTTCTCCTGCCTCAGCCTCCTGAGTAGCTAGGACTACAGGCATGTGCCTCCGTATTTGGCTAATTTTTGTATTTTGAGTCCAGACGGGGTTTCGCCATACTAGCCAGGTTGGTCTCGAACTCCTGACCTCAGGTGATCCACCCACCTCAGCCTCTCAAAGTGCTGGGATTACAGGCATGAGCCATAGCGCCCGGCCAATAATGCTTTTAAAAAACAAAGAGACTCCACAGCAAAATGCTTTTCTGGGTAACAAAATGTTGCTGGATAGATATATTTTTTCTGTCTCTCTTCATCTCTCTCCTTATCACGTCCTTTTTATGTCTATGAATTGCTTAGGGATATTTCTCTAAAGATGAACGAATATGCTCGGAAAACATTGAATCAAATGCATTTTTTGAGAGGATAATACTGAGTTCTAAAGAAGGGAACTGACTTATCCCAAATCAAGTCATCATCTGGCAGATGCAGGGGCAAAGGTCGGGCTCTTGTGTCCCAGGATCCTTTCCTTCCTAGGGGGTGACCACTTGGACCACTTTCTCGTAGGACCCTACCTGGAAGGACTAGGAAACCAATGCATTTGGAAATCATAAATGCAGGTTTAGAGAAAGTCGGGGTGCTAAGAAATACCCATGGAAAAAAAGGGCATCGAGGGGGCCAGTGGAGAGGATGTGAGAGCTGCTACCGGGATTTGATCCTGAAGTTGATACGGGGCTCACAATTGAATGGGCTGGAATGAAACCGCTGGCTTCTGTTCATAGAGGCTGGGCTCCCTAGAGGAGAGGTCCAGGCTGTGTTTTAATTTGTTAAGGTCATTTCACCTGCCTAATCTTCAGACCCATGCTTTTATTTTACAGGATTAAGTAGATGGGGAATTCAACAGCTATTTTCTGAGTTTTTACTGTGTGCAAGGCACTGTGCCAGAAACCTCAGGAAAATAAAAAGTTGAGCAAAACACAAACTCAAGGAACTAGCCGTTCTGTTAGAGATATGAGAGGCAGGAAAAGAATAAGTTAAAATTGTATATATTGAATTAGGGAAAACAGAGCACCCTTTTCCACCACAAGACCCTGCTTATTTAACAGCCTGATCCCAGTGAGCAGAAAAGGATTTTTATGTGGAGTCCTAGAGTTCAGGAGGTCCTGGAAGAAAGATTATAACCAATTCCACTAAAGCTTTTCCACTGATGTCCGGATTTCCGTCAAAATATTGCACACCATGAGATTCCTCACCTTGACTTCCTAGTGGACACATGCATCCAATTTGCAGTGTTCTTGGCTCTCCTTAGCCTCCTTCCTGTCCACATTTAAAATGACCATTTCCCTGACCTCCATGGCATTACAGTTGCCCTAGATCTCATCCATCCTCTCTGAATGCATTTTAGAATACCCTAATGCCCACAGCAAGACTTCTTCCAAGACCTCCTCCTCCTTCCAACTCCTAAATACTCAATCCATCCATGCTTTATCTTCTCACTTCTAAGCAGATCATTGCAAGCCTCCATTTGTAGTGTTACCCCTGTCTCATGGAAGTTTCCACCTAGAACTCGAAGCTCCCCGCCTGACGTCTCTGTCCATCCACAACCATGCCCCTTTATCCATGCTCCCTCAGTTCTACCCATTTCCACACCACCATGCTACAAAGTTGGAAAGAGTCATTTGTGACTCCTTTTTAGTCTCCTAAACAACCAGAAATCAAAATCTGATGATTCTTCCTCTCCAGTCTTTCCTGGTCCAGGACTTCACTGTC